CAGCTCCGTGAGCCAGGAGGGGCCCAGCGGCCTTCGCTCGCAGAGCACAGAAACACGAGAGGCAGCCATTCTGCGGCTTGCAGGCTGCTCCCTGGCCCTCCTCCTCCTCTTTCCTTTCCCCTGCGTCCCCCGGCCCTCAGCTCCTTGCCAGTCCTGATGGTGCCCGCGGGCGTTTCCAGTACCTGCCCGAGACCTGCGCCCACGTTCTCCCCCAGTCCCCCCAGCAGGTCCTAGCCGGCCGACGCTGGGTCTGCGACTGGCAGGAGAAGCTCTGCTCCACGTGTCAAGAGCTGCTGTCGCCTGCTACTGCCAGGAGCAGGGAAATTTCCCTTCCCCTCAGTTCCTCCTCTTTTTCTTCTTCTCTTCTTTCAGTCAGGCCGCCTGTTTTTGGTTTTTGTTTGTTTGTTTGTTTGTTTGTTTGTTTTACGAGACACAGAATGGCCGAAAAAGCTCAACAAAACCCAACAGGACAAGAAACGCAAGAAATGCTGCTCTGAGCCCTCTGGCTCCATTTTCAAAGCAGTCGTCCCCGGAGAGAGCTCTTGAGATCTCGGAAAGACGCGTCTCATTCCGTGCCATAACATGATCTAGCATGTCTTGTGTGGTTCCTGTGAGCAGGCCAGGAGAGCCCTTGTAATATAAATACTATACCATCGTTTGCGAATGAGTTTTCCTGCTGCTGTGGACGTGAAGTGCTGACAGATCCCAGCACACTGGCGATAAAGCACAGACGCTCAGGAGAGGTTGATTCCTGGGGGCTCTCATTTCCTCTCCCTGGCTGCGCTGAAACACAGGAAACGCCGAGAGGTGTCGGTCTGTGGCACACTGTGAAGCTGCTTCATCTCCTCCTCCTCCTGTACGGGATCTTGATTAACTTGGTTAGAGCTTATTCCCCAAGAAAGGATAACAATAAAACAGTTCTAGGATAAACATACAAGGCATAATAAAGTAGTAGATGTGAATCATGAGAAGTGTAGGCAGCTCATAATGGGGCCCGAGCGTTTTGGTGAGGGTGGCCAAGATGTCTTTTGGGGGGGGGTTGTTTGCTTTTTGTTGGCTACAGAGCCTGTTGGAGCTCAGAGGGTTAAGTTTGCTCTCAGTGGCTGGTCTTCCCATTAGCAGATAAAAAAGAAAATCCACATCGCTAACAGGTTTCTTTCTTCAGCTCAGCTACTTTCCCCTGTCTTGCCCTCCTACTTAATCTGTGACAGCAGCCGAGGTGCCCAGGGACTCAGTCTAAACTAGTCAGAAATAAAAGAATAAAGACTCTTTCTCTGTGGGCGGCAGGACACCTCAGATGTCTGACCCCTATAGCGTTTTATATTAAAGAGGCAGAAATTGAAGGTGGAATGTTTCGGAATGTGAAATCCATTTTCCTTTGCTGTTCTCGCAGCTCCTGTGCTGTTTTCCCTGTCAGGCCGTATCATGGATTAGATTTATTTTTTTCCTGCCCAGTACATCCTTCTTCAAACGTTGAACACTTTCCAGAGGATTTACAGAGCAGCTCCCATCATCTCAGCCTTATAATATGGGCATTAGTCCTGAATGTTGTACTTTCTTCGGGAGCAGACATCCAAAGAAGCCTTAAATACATTCTGAGCTCTGACAGCCTAGCATGAGTAAAAATGGAGAAATGTTAGCAAGTTCTTTTCAATCTATTAGTACCTGCCAGACTGTAAAGGCGTTCATAAGTGTATTATCTATTATTTTAATCTTCATTGGATTGGTCAATTTATAGCACGCTTGGCTGATCCTGTGTGAGGAGCCACCCTTAGTTTTTAAGTTTAATTGTACAGACATTCCTGTATCAAACTGAATGTTTTTTGGGGCAAATGTAAGAAGCACACACATTTACTGTACTTGTGTGAAGGTGTTTCCTCCCATTGTGCTAAGACATGCTGGTAGGTTGATTGGCTTCTGAGAAAACTGGCCCTGGTGCGAATGTGAGTGTCTGCGTGTGCCGTGTGATGGACTGGCGTCCCGTCCAGGCTGTGTCCTGCCCCATGCCCGTTGTTTGCTGGGATGGGCTCTGGCTATCCCATGAGCCTGTATGGGATAAAGCAGTTAGACGTTGGATTGACAAGGCAGCTCAACTCTTGAAGCTTTGCCCTGTTTATTTCGAAGCATGGAGTTTGAACTCCAGCAGCCACAGGAGCCCAGTCTGGCGGGTCAGTGTGGAGGCACTGGCGTGAGCAGCATTGACGACACCCTGGACCTGCATTACCCGATCAGTCATATTCAGCTCGGTTCTTTTCCGTCAGTATAGGTACGACTCTGCTTTATGCCTGCGCGGCGGAAGGTGAAGGAATGTTCTTGCCTTTGACCCTCGTCACCTGCCATGAAGGAAGGTGCCCTGGGAAGCAAGAGAGGTCTGACAGGCCCCGTTGAAAGCTGTCGTTTCTCTGCGGAAACCCAATCCCTCGCCCAGCAGCGGCACGTACGCGGCGCAAATGGCAGCGGTGCTGAAATAAAGCCTGCCATTGTCTTTGTTCGCATTCTGCAGAGGGCTGAAAGATGTGCTGAAAGGTGGGGAGTGTTTGGAATCTGGAATTCCTGTCCCAGCTGTCCTGCGAGGAACGCTGCGGCCTGCAGCCCGTGGCCTGAGGAATGTACAAATGTCACCATGGTTTTCCACCTTTTGTGTCTGAGGGAGTACAGCCCTCCGCTGTGAACGTTAGCAGCTCTGTCAAGGAACACCTGTGGTGTACTCAAAAGAGGAACAATTAGAGGGACTGTAAATGGCCAATTCCTGTCAAACTTCACTGACTTGAGACTTAAAAACGTGAGATTTTAGAACTTCAGGAAAATATCTTTTGAAACCATTAATAATGGATCTTTGCAGGATATCCGTCTCTTAGATTCAGTTTTTGGTGGATTTATTTTAGTGGACTGACTTTTTATTCGCTGTAATTGTTGTTTGCTGTACAGCTGCCAGAGATGTTGAAATCACTGTGACAGATAACAAGTTGTTTAATGTAAAAAGACCAGCTCTCCTGTCGATGCCTCTGTCACCTCCTGAGGGTTGAAACAAGTCAGCCCTGTGCTGTGGCTGACCTGGGTGTGCTGTGTGGGAACTGCAGCATTGTAAACTGGAACACAGACAGGGCTGGGCTGATATTACAGGGAAGGGCTTTGATCCTTCCTTCTCAAACTGTGTCTCAGCAATGATTTCCCTAATGGGTTTAAGAGGCTGAGGTTATCAAACAGATAGTAAAACAATGAGATAGTTATAGATTAGCTTGTCTGTGACACTGACCAGCTCTGCTGACCACTGCAGTTAAAAATGTCCCTCTTGGTAGCAAAGCCTTGCCTTCTCTTTTGGAAATTGCGGCTCTTGCTGCAGGAGAGGATCTGGCAGGGCCTCACTTTAAAGAACACAATCTGTAAGGACTGACCCAGCGATACACAGCAGATGAAAGAAGGGAACTGGGCCCATCTGTTGGCACAGCCATTGATAAAGGAGGATGATTTGGCTCTGGCGTCTACGCAGTGTAGTATTACAAGCCAAGGCAAAAAAACCTGTCGAACGCAAACCATTCTCCAGCTTTCCCAGCCTCTTTGCTAAAGGAAGAGATCTCGGGGGTGAGAGCAGGGAGACGGGGCTGTGCAGGAGCTCCTTTGTGAATTTGTTGGATAACCTCCTGCGCTGGCAGGAGAGGATGGAGCCGATTGCGATGTCGGAGCATGCCAGAAATCAGCACAGCAAAACTTGTGGATATGATGTAGGTTGGTACCTTTCCAAGTTTAGCTCCACATCAACATAAAACCTTGAATCAGTTGTGCAGTTTCTATAGCCCTGCGCTCGGAAAAGGATTTCCTTCAGAAACCAGCGAACAACAAGTAAGTGTTTGTGCTTGTAATCCTCTGGTAGCGAGTACCCTTTCGTCTGAACTGGTGTTCAGTGTGTTCAGTTGTGTTTTTTATGCTTCTGGTGACATTGTGAAACACAAGGAGTCAGGCCTTGCAGTGCCTGCTGCAGGAGAGCAATGGTGGGGTTTTTAAACTGGACCAGATTTAGGTTTATCATATGCTGGAAAGGTACATGTGCAGGTTTCGCTTTGCTTTGGCCTAGTGGTTCTGCGTGATAATGGATTTAGATTCAAAGGACAAAGTCTGAAGAAGACAAAGGAAAATAAACTCATGTTAGTCTGCAACGATGCTTTTGAAGAGCTGCCGCAGGTGATGTGCAATGGAGAGAAGCAGTTGCACTCTCCTCGAAAGCAGGGGGATAAAGGAAGCTGTCTGGCTCGTTTTCGAAACCTTGAGTGCAAATTTCAGTCCTAAACAGTAACAGATTAGAATGAACACGAGCAGTCTTGAAACAATATCAGCAGTGTGGGTTGTGTGTATGATCAGTAAAACCTTCAAAGAGTGAAAATGTGTTAAAAACTTAAAATGTAGGAGTAGCTGGCAGGAACAATACATAGTTCTGCTCTATGAATAAAGTTGTTCTGCTTTATAAAATTCCAACAGGTTTGTGTGGTTACCTGATTTCTGTTTTAGAGACCCATTGAATTGTTGTTCCTGTTTTCTATGTTTTCTATGCTCTTGAAGCCAGTGCTCCTGTCTTGTCTCCATGGCTCTCTGATTGTGATGTAAGGTTCTATTCCTGCCTGCCCCTTCCACATTGATCTTTTCCCCGAGTTCCATTGTCTGCTTAAGTGCTTGTTGAGTAAACTTTCTCTGACCTGGGAGCTAAGCAGGAGAATGGTAAGGTGTCAGTGTACATATAGATTTGTGATTTTACATACACATATTCTGCAATCACCCGAGGGCGTTAATCAAATGGTGATTTGCTTCTTTTGGTAATATTTGATATATATTTGCGCTGTGCTCTGCATAGAGGAGATAGAATTCTTAGCAATTGTATTAGTCTTTTACAGGAGGGACCTGCTGTACTGGTCTATCATCAAGGTGTTTAGAAGAAATAAGTGAACCGCATGTAATATTTTAATTGCTGAATTGTTGCTCAAGCCTGTTGTTGTTTTTTGGTTTTTCAGCATTAAAGAGGTCTTTTGAGGTAGAGGAGGTTGACAGTTCCACACATTCCTCCGTCCCTCCTAGACGGACTCCCAACCCTCACCTCCGGTCCAGTGTGTCTTCCTCCACCCAGCGCTTCCAGGATCTGGGCTCCAGAAACTCGGACTTCTCCACGAAGGGCTCGGAACTGTCCAACCAGAGGTCCCCCAAGATCGGCCTGCGGCGCGTGGAGCTCTCTGGTCCCCGCATTCCGGAGCCCGTGTCCAGAAGGACCGAGATCTCCATCGACATCTCCTCCAAGCAAGTGGACAGCTCGCCCAGCCCAGGCATCTCCAGGTTTGGACTGAAGAGGCCAGAGGTCACGGGCCACAAGCCCCCAGAGCTGACCCAGAGGCGGGCAGAAGTCAGCCTCGGAAAGATCCAGGAGCCCCCGCCTCCTCGAAGGGCCGAACCGCCACCTTCCTCTTCCAGGATCCCGGAGCCCGTGCAGAAGAAGGCAGAGCCGCCCACACAGCCCTCGCAGGTGGAGGCTCCACCCAAACGCCCCGAGGTTCAGATCAGCAAGTCCCCCGAGGGGCCACCTACCGCCAATAACTTCTCCGCCCCAGCCAGCGTCCCTCCGAGCCACACGGAGCCGAAGGCACAGCCCGTGATCACCGAGGTCTTCGTCAGGAGTCCCGACAGTAAGTACGCAAAAGCAGCAGGCTTGGCCTGGCTCCTCCTTACCACAGATGCAGCAGCTTCAGTCCAAAGCAGCTTTGCAGCGCAGGAAAGCATACACATGAGGAAAAGCTGTGTGGTGTTTGGAGATCAACTGGTTTTGTGCAACTAAATGGTATTTTCTTGCTGAGTCCTGATCTATCCCCAAAATGGGATTTTTTTCCCAAATCCGATTGTTTAGCCAGTGGATGCAGATTTTGAAGACAAAAAGAAAATTCCTGAAAAGTAGTGTTGACGTTGTAGGACTTCATTTTCCAACGTAGGTACTGCGGGCGCATTAACTGTGTTGGAACTTAAAAGTTAAAAATCCAAGTTAGGGATTCAAAAATCAAAAAGGTATCTACTGGTATAAAAAATGTATGAAATCCTAAAATTCATAAGGTCCTAAAAGGAAAACTAAGTATAACTAAATACAAGTTATCTTAATTTAGAAAACTGCAAGAAATGAGGTGTGTTTTCTCAGAATGCGATAAAAAGCATTAGTAAATATTTTAACTTTTGACAATCTGGACTTACAGTATGTGTTAATGCCAATGGACTGAAACTTGTTGAAGTGGGGACAGGATGGATTTTGCATATTTTCCAAAATCCAGAAATGACTTCAAAGTTTCCCAAGCTCCATGCATTTAAGTCTTGATCTACTGGTTTAGTGTGAGCAGCTACTGAGATAGTGAGCTATACTTGTCTGACAGCATTATGAGTCTGAGCGACTCATCAGAGCTTCATGGTGTCTCTGAGTGTATGCATTTAGATCAAGACAAATGTAGATTGCAATGACTGACCACAACAGTGTTGCTTTTTTTAATCCTCCCACAGTGCCACAAGCTTTAGACCAGTGAGACTCACCAAGAAACGTTTTGTATCAGCCTCAGCAATGAAGGCACACTGTGTGACTTCATCTGGTGCTCAAGACATTCATCTTTCAGAAGGACAGGCATTAATTCATTCAGCATTTGCACAATGCCTTCCTCTTCATTGGCATTTGGAAAAATCTGACCACTCCAGTCAGTCCATCTGTAATCTGATTTTTATGTACAGTACCTCTGTCCATATAGCATACCCTCATTTATTCAAATGCCATGATAACCTTCATACAGAAATCATTGTAATCCCAAGCTACTTAATGCAGGTATGTCTATAGGTAGTTTTGGTGGACAGTGTGGGGTAGAGTTGTGAGAATGACAACTCCTGGAGTTAACCAAAGCAGTAGAGCTTGTGCCAGGTTGATGGGTGGAGTCTGTGTGGGCCACTGAAACAGCGTAGGTGTGCACTGGGTGAGACAAGTTCACGTTATCAAGAAGTTTTATTGAAGTTTGTTTCCTTATGCCTTGAGCACTGGAATGAGGAGTTTGTGTTACAGGGTGATGGAGGAGTTTGTGTTACAGGGTGTCGGAAGAGTTTGTGTTACAGTGTGATGGGTTTCACAATACGCCTTGTGGTCCTGATTTAACGTCTTTGGTAGATTTAGCGTGAGGTGCTTTAAGATGATTTTTAAAAAACAGTGCTGAAAGGAATTGGGAAAATAACAAGAAAGTGGGAGGGAGTGTATCTGATATCTAGAGTTTGCATCTTTTGCGAGTCACAATCTGCAAATAGCAGGTAACAACAATAATAAACTAAACAGGATTTCTGCCAGTAATATGTTATGCATAAAAACAAAGCTTATAGTGTGCTGTGTACCATTGCAGCACAGATTGTAGGATATATGCAAGTGGCCAGTACATTTAGACATCTTTCAATCTACATGTGCTTAACTGCCTGTCTGGTGCTGCTTTCTCACATGAGGGTTTCAGTGTTGATTTTGAATATTGTGCTGTTTTCCTATGGCTAACAGGCTACTGGGCTGTATTTTCCTGCGGTTACCCACGATTTGTATCATGGTTTCATACCTCTCTGTGCTTTGACTGTGTTTTCTCACCATAGTTGTATTGTCTTTTACCATGGTGCACCACAGCAGACCCTGTATCACTGCACACAGCGCTCAAAAGATGCAAGGCTGCATGCATTGCATGAGCAGAATTGTCTGCAATGTCCTCTGCGGTGGGTTGACAGTGTGTTTTGCTTGAAGAACAGCATTTCTGGCTTTAAAACCTGTCATATGAATTATGCTATTTTTACAAAATGGCAGGAGAGTGTGAAGCAAAATCACAGCTGGGTAAACAAAAAAAAAAAGGTGAACTCAAAATAATCAATGATGTGCTTTTAAGAAATGGCAGCTTATCAAGCAAAGCTGCAGAGCCAGAGCACAGCGAATGCCTGGTGACTTTTCTGGAAATCACATTAAACAGTATAGCTGCCTTGGCTCAGGCAGGTCTCCTTTGGCCTATGAATGGAAGAATAATTAATATCATGTCACATCCCTGGCCGAGACACTCCCCCTCTGCTGTCTCTGTAGGAGTCCTACAGCAAGGCCAGAGCAGAAGATTCCCCTGGGAATCTGTACAAACTGCTCACCATTCATTCACCATAACCTGAAGCTGACTAAGGCCTTTTTCAGTGCACAATTGGCATGGTGTCACAAGTCACATAGAGCAAAATAATGCTCACATGTTTAAAAACAAGAAATCTGGGATGTGTCAAATCTCTCTGTTCTATCTACCTTATCCAATGTGGGTCACGGGAGAGCAGCAGCCTATCCCGGTGAGGAAGGGTACAACCTGGACAGGACGCCAGTCCATCACAGGACACACACACAGACACAGTCGTGCACACTCACTCCAGGGCCAGCTTTCCCAGAAGCCAATGAACCCGCCAGCATGTCTGTGCACTGTGGGTGGAAACTGGAGCACCTGGAGGAAACCCCATGTGAACCCGGGAAGAACATGCAGACTCCACACAGACAGCACCCCAGGTCCAGAATTGAACCAGGGGCCCCAGAGTTGTGAGGCAGCAGACATTTATGGCAAATGCCAAGTGAAAGTTAAATAATTGACCTTTCTGTGTAGGGTTGTCTTCCATGAGCTTGAGGAGAGAAATGGCATTATAAGTAGTGTAGTACACACACACGGTCAAATATTGTAGTACAGGTGTGACATTTCAGACTACATTTTGAGGTGGAAACAGACCTGTCCTCTATCATCGTGGGACACCCTATGTCTCACCTTGTCAGGTCCTCTGAATTGACTACATTATAGGAAAAAGAGAAGAGAATACTTACCCAAAGCTGTCAGCATTTCAGTCACAAAGGACTTCATCAGGATGCCCTGCTGAGCCAGGAATATCTGATAAACCAGGACAAGTATTTCTGCTTTCCTTAAGAAAGCTTTCAGGTCATGTAATGCGATGCAGCGTGCAGTTTCTAAAAGTGTGTGCGTTTAGTAATACGGGAATATTGGCCTACAGCAGTATAGTTCTGTGAATTACTCTTTTTTTTGTTAAGAATGAAGAAACAATTGTGCAAGACATATCTCTGTGTTACCCTTCATTCAATAAGGTTCTGAAAAATAAAAAAATGCAAGAAAACAGGATGAAAGAGGAGACGAGAGATAGCACTAAACATTTATTTAGGCGAAAACAAATGTACTAAAGAAAATCAACAACACCTTCAGCTTCAAGCAGCTTTCCCAGTTATGCAGGAAAAACTGTCAATACTGAGAAATCTGTTCAGCATATTAGGTCAGCTTTTCCTTTTTTAAAAAAAAAAACATGAGACAGAGGAGAAAAATTCAGTCTTCGGGGAAACATTTTCAAGATGTTTTAAACAGCGTCTGACACATTTGAATTTGATTACTGGTTCCCTTAAACTGTGCAAGGACAGAAAACACCTTTTACAGTTCTCAGCTTGAGTGGGGAAAACAAATCTGGGCCAAATGGATTCTTGTAAACCTTTTTAAAAAAGAGAAATAAAATTAAGAGCCAACTATGAGCTAATGTGTCAGCATCTAAATTTTGCTGAGGGCTGCACCTTTTTCTGGAAAAGGGGCTCCTTTGTCTCAGATTATTGAAATGGAGCTCAACAGAGAAAAATAACTGGAAGTTGTACAGTAAGTACATTGGTAAGGGGGATATGTCTGGGCTTCTCTATAAAGTGATGAACACTGATTATAGTTTAAGACTATTTATAGTAATTTGACAAGTGATTCTGTATGACTTAGGTCACTGAGGCTGTAAACAGAGCCTACAGTGAAGACACCAAAAATAATATAATCATGCTATCAGGCATTATGGTTTTTACCAAAAAAGGGCATGGTAGCTTTAAACAGAATGACACGTTATCAAAATGAAAATGAGGTTTTTCATTTTTAGCTTTCAAGTCCAAGCTTTCAAGTTTTTTTTTTCAGATGATAATTTGTTATTGACGTAAGGTTGCTGGAGTTACAGAACTAGAGTGCGCTCACTCAGGCTGCACATAGAGGAATCGGCTCTGGATTCTTACGGTGGTAGAAATGTTTTTCACAGTGGGTTGTACATACAACCAAGATGAAAAAAAACAACAACGTTTCAGCAGTTTGGCATTTGAAAGAGTGTTTGTGAATCATGAGGCTACAGTTAACTAGTGTCTTAATGGGTAGACACCAAATCGCTCTTTTAAAGAGCTTTCGTGAGGAGTAATGACAACCCGAGAGCCGAGGGTATTTATCGAGTATTTATCGCGGCAGAGTGAGATTTAGTCGAACCCGTTTGGCTGAGGGCCAGCCCCCTGGCTGTGGATCAAGGGGGATGCAGGGCCCCCCGTCGCGAGTGAGGGGTGACCCGGGGGGGGGGTGCAGAGGCGGGGATGGCGTGGAGGAAGGAAGCATGGACCGAAATGCGAGAGGAGGGCTTTGCGGACGAGGTGGACGTTTGCAGATAATGAGAGCCGACACTGGGAGTGATTCATGATTCAGAACAGCTGGGCGAAAGCAAGTCGGGTGTAGTTATCCCTCTCGAAACTTGAAGGATTCTGCTCGTTTTGGAGCGTCGGGAGACGGCGCGTGGGTATAACCTTTCGCCCGTGTGCCCACGATGAGTCTGGGACTCCTGC